GGTTTGCATTTGAGAATGCTTTACACATGTTATTTTCATGCAACACTTTATTTAAAAATGTAAATTTATTATTTTAAATTAATTTTAATAAATATTTTATATATTGTTTACTAATTTTAATGCCCAACATTCTCAATCCAACTCCAGAGGCTAAGCATTACTTAGTTCGGAAAGTTTGGCTGAAATAAAATCAGTTCGGTTCAGTTTATTAGACCGCTACCAGTTTGAGGTTTGACCGCCGCCACCTACTTGCCATCGCGCCGGACCACGTGCGGCACTCACCCGCAAATAACATTTGTAGAAAAAGAGTGGAATCAGCACCAAACCCTAGCAGAAGCAGCTCTCCCTCTTAACTATCACTTTCACTGTGGCAACTCAATCTTTTAAAACTCTAGCAGGCATTTCTCCACTCTCTCCAAGGTATTCCTGAATCTTTAAAAGCCTCAGTCCTGTTCTTGTTCTGTTTGGTCACTCTGAAAGCAAGAGAAATATTTGAAATCATCAGCTCAATTTCATGTTTTTCAAGATATTGTTTGGGAGGTATTGGTTCCTGCATGATAAAATGATATTAGATATAGTTATAGCAAAAGAGGGTATTTGATACATAATTCAAATTTTGATAATTGGCAAGGTTCTTATAGGATGCTTTTTTTTTCTTCTTAATTTGATATTATTATTAAAATTCAATATTATTATTCGTTAGATTTCATCGTTTCAAGAGAAAAAGGCTGGATTTTTGTTAGCTATGAATTGTTTGCGCAGTTGTTTATTGGTCTGATCTTGCTGCAGTGGTTATTGAATACCAAAATCACCTGTGTATGTTACTTTGGTAGTCATCCAAACATTTATCTTAGTTTATTTTATTTTAGCTTGTTTATATTGATAAAGACATGTAACTCTTAATTCTTGTATTTGAAAACTTTGTACTTAGAGAAAAGCTGGTAATTATCTCATCCAACGTCTGAACAATTTATGGGAGTTTATGTTACACTGGTAATAGTTGATATTATGGACAAAGGTTTCTCCTTTATCGACATGTAGTGCTAAATAGAGGTTTAGGGTACTTGTGTTGTATAGTCCATTTGATTATATTTCACTGACTCTGCCTCCGTAAGTTGACTAGTGAAATCAAGGTTAGTTGTTTCTGTTCAGTGTTCTCCCTATGAAGAGACTCCTTGTTCTTTGAACTTTTGTTACAATTGCCATCTGAGATGGGTGCATAACTGCATGAGGGAGTAGAATAAGTGAAGGGGTGAAGGAATTTTTTTTTTGCTTTGTCTAAAGATTAGAGAGCATTTGCTCCATCAAAATTATAATGCAAAAGTCAATTTAACAGAACTTCCTTTAGGAAATGAAAAAAGGAGGAATATGAAGAAAAAGAAAAAAAGGGGAGGATATTCTTCTAATTTGTCTTTATTTGATTAAATATGAGATATTAAAAATTGTATCCTTCCTTTGCTTCTCACCTTCCCATTCACATTATCTTCTAAATTCTAATATTCAATTGTTCTTAATGCTGTAAGTTTGCGTTCCTTCTGTACTTTATTTTGCTCAACACTTTTCTGTACATTCTTGAATTTGATTTTTTTTTTTTCTGATTAAAAGTTTCCATTTTTTATAATCTTGATTTTTGACAGAATATTTTATAATTATTTAAGCTTTCTTCATCTTACTTAACACTGACATTTATCTGTTGAAACTCAGGCATAGGTATCAGGTGGTTCGTTGTCCTTTATTTTATGCTTTCCCTCTAAGTAGGGTTGTGAAATTTCAGGAAGTGTTACTCACAAGAATGAGTATACATGCCATTGGTATATAACCTGATGTCAGTTCGGGAAGCATTGATATAGAGTTTGTATCCACCTAACAAAGTTAACCATTTGAAGAGGAGGAAGCTTTCATTGTCTTTGTTACCTACTTGTTTTTGAACCAGTAAGGGGCAACGGCTGGATTTGCACAAGTTACTAGTAACAAGTTGTCTGCTGAATCTATCATCAAATGTCGGAAGGTGTTTTGTCAGTTGTCAGATCCGAGGTTTGGCATATAATTTTTTTGGGATTTTTTCCCCCATTTTGACCTGTTTCTACACTTCTGAAATTTATTACATGGATAACAATTACATTCTTTATTTTTGAAATTTATTACGTGGATAGCAATTACGTTCTTTATTTTTGAAATTTATTACATTGATAATAATTACATTCTTTATTTGTAGAGAACAGTGTTTTCGTCATTTATTCATTCACCAGTCTGTCAGATTTTGGTATTTTTGTCAATCTAACAGGCAGAAAATATATATTATGTACTTCTCGCTAGAATTAGCTTTCTTTCTTATGTTGTGACATATGGAATCTTCATGTCTGTTTTCTCTCTCATACCTGTGCACACACACTAACTCAAGAAAGACAGAAAGCTGAAGAGAGCAGTTTATATTCATATCTGTGTTAGTGCCATATGTATGCATTATTATGTGGGTTGCAAATATGTATTTTTATGTCCTTTTAGTTTTTTGTGGAAAATATACCCTTTTAGTTCAAGTCTCATTTTTAATGTTTTTGTATTCAAGATGAAGTCCTACATCTGGCTTCAAACTACTGATGGATCAATCCAACAAGTAGAAAAAGAGGTTGCAATGTCTTGTCCAGTTATTTGCCAAGAAATTCTCCAAAAAGGCTTGGGTTCTTCAAAAAACTATCCTATAGTGCTTCCAGAACGTGTAAATCCTGCACTGTTGGGATTGATACTTGATTACTGCCGATTTCATCAAGCGCCTGGTCGATCTAATAAGGTTTGATAAGTGCTTCTTGATTTTCCAGTAGTTTCTCCTGCTATTATGGTTGATACTTCAGTTAATTGCTTTTAGACTGTTTGATTCTTGTTTGGTTCATCTATAGGAGCACAAGACTTTTGATGAGAAGTTTATTCGAATGAGTACACAAAGATTGTGTGAGTTGACCTCTGCTGCTTACAGCCTGAAATTGAAGCCTTTAGTTGATCTCACATGTCGCGCACTTGCTAGAATAATTGAAGGAAAAACACCTGAGGAGGTACGGGAGACATTTCATATACCTGATGACCTCACAGAGGTGCGTGGCTAGCAAGAACTTAATGTGTTCAATGTTTAGTCTGTGTTTGTTGGTTTTCATGTATATTTGGTCACCCCAGGAGGAGAAGTTGGAACCTATCAGAAATATAACTGATGACCCACATATTCGGCGTTTGAATCGATTATATGCCAAAAAACGGCAAGAATTGAAAGAGAGAGACAAACCAAGGGTAATTGATTTTTGCCACTTCCTTAATACATTTTTCCATATTTTTTGTGTTCCCTGGAGTCTGGTATATGTTTTCTGCTTTGTGTAAAATAATATGCAATGCAATTTTCAACTCTATGCCGCTGAAGCACTTGCATCTGTGTACATAATTGCATTATAAACAAATGAATTCTTTGAATGTCTCAGAACACTAGGGTTAAGGAGGAGCATGTGGATGAACGTTCAGTTGATGATCTGTTATTGTTTATAAATGGAGGTAAAGGTGGGTTTTAGAAGTGTTTTCTCTGCATGCTTTTTGTAGATGGCTTGTTATCTGCTTAAGCATATAATATTTATCCAAATGTTCATTGATATCTAAATTGTCTGTTATTCTGCGTTGCTTGTTATTCTGCGTTGCTTGTTGATATCTAATTAGCCTGTTATTCTGTAAAGCAGACTCAAAGGGTGTTCAAACGACTAAGAATAAAAAGAAAAATAGAAGAAGAAAAGAGAAAGAAAAAGACTCTGCCTCTAATCATTCAGATGTTTGTCCTCTCTCTCTCTTTGTAAGAAACACTCACTCAAGCATGCAAGTCCTGCTTGTGTGAACTCTTCTGTTGGCTACAATCACAATCTTTCATTTTTTTTCTACTGTCTTAATCATCAGGGAGACTGTTTCTAATTGTTAATTTCTAATTTTTTTTTTAGGAGTTTAATGCTGCTTACGATGCCAGGAGTGAGGACAATGTTGATCACATTTTGTCATCAACTCCTAGTGAAACTGCAAAGTTGCAAGACTTTGTTGAGCTTGAGCTTGAGCTTGATGAGAGTGATAGTGATGATGGTTTGGATCCTGCAATGAAAAAGGAACTTGACAGGTTATTGGGGCATGTTTATTCATTCTAAATTAGTGTATTCAATATTTAACACACAGCAAGGATGTCTTTTAGAATTTTGTTATGCTCTGATGCGGCAACCAGCATTATTTCTAGATTTTGATGAATTGTATGTAGATTTACAATCCAATTGTTGTCTTCTATGTTTATTTAGTTGTTTAACTATTGACTTCATATAGGGAAGTGGAGAACTTTGCTCGCATATTGAATTCAAACTGGCTAGAAAGGAGGCAAGAAATTTTATCATTAGGCAATGAAAGGAGACTCGTACCAGTATCTGGAAATATCAGTGGTTCAATAAGTAGATTTACAAGTAAGCAGCTTTTTTATTTTTCTTTTCCCTTAATTGCTTGTAATTGTGGTTGTCTTTACTCTTGGATATTCTTTACTCCTCATTTACTTTGAAGATGTTTTTTTTTAATGAAGACTCCAAAGAGGGTTTTGTTTAGAGCAGAAGAGGGTAAGTTTGTGAATGTGGTATTGTTGACGAAAAGTGAATAGAGATTTTGGGTTCAAGAAGATAAAAATGATTTATTTCAAGGATAAGCACACCACTCCCTACAGGTGCATGATTTTTATCTTCTGACTCCCTCAAAATGTTTGCTGTTTTTTCCTATTAAACTGAATTTTTATAATGAAGAGTGCGGTTGGTATCGAGTGGTCCAAACTAATGTGTATTAAAATTCATGTTTGAACAGGACATGAGAAAACAAAGATGGATTTCCATTTTTCAGAAGGCACTGCAGCTTGAGCGGTTTTGAAGTATATGCCCGTACCAAATCTACTGCTACCAATTACTTGGCATTGGATTTGGTGGCAGTGCATGTGAGCATTGCAATCAAGCCATGTTGTAGGAACAAAGGAAGAAAACAAAGGAGAAGACATTTCTAGTTTTGCTTATTCTTTCAATTTGTTGTGTTGCCAGTCGCCTGGGACTCTTGGAACAATAACAAAATAGTGATGGTTTCTAGTTTTAATTTTCGTTTCTTCTGTAATCCCTTTGTTCAAAGCATGGAGATCTCATTAACCTAAGCTTTGCATGAAATTTCTTCGAACATGAAACAATGAGATAATAATTGCTAATAACAACTTCTAAGTTTTAGCTATTCCCCAATTAAATCAGGGTGAAAATAAGGAATAATTATTCTTTCCATGTCATTCTCCACTCGCAGTTTGCGTTATTTTTTATAGCGGCAGTGATGGGGTTACAATTTCTTGTATAATAACACAACATTAACAAGTAAATGTATGTCAGTTAATTCATGATTATCTTATAAATGTACGAATCCCTAATCAGTTAAACTTCAGCACTGATCATTTTTC